AAAAAAGAGAAAATATTCAGATATACATATTCTTTTACAGCATGTCCCATATTCACTGCTGATAGTAAATCATCATTCCAACACAGCAAAAGAATATATGACTCACAATGTAAAAACTCAGTGCTGGAAAAAAAGCTGACAACAGGACTTTTAAAGACAGTGAACTCCTTGAAGGATGAGGCAAGTAGGAGAAAGTGAAGGTCTTCTACCAGGGAAGAAAAATAACAGAATGTTACTAGGAGTGAGTATAGAAAAAATGTGGAGGTTTCTTTGTTGTTTTGTTTTTTTTCTTTAAATCTGTGGCTTTGTGTGCATTATCTGCTAATCAGAAAAATAAAGTTAATTGAAGACCTCTTGAGTCTCTTTAAGTAGCTGAGTAGACAATATCCTGTCAAATGAGAGAGAGTACCTCATGGCATCAACTCTGTTTCATTTTCAGTTCTCAGGTCCTGAAAGCAGCAACATGGATCAGTCCTCAGAGAGACTCAGCCTGGGTTTTGTTCATGTCCTGCCCGTGACCCTTGCCATATACTTGAAAGCTTTGTGCCTCCTATGTTACCTGTTCTGCCTACTTAGGAGACAAGGTCTGCTGGACAGTTATGTGACTGGGTATCCTAACATTGCTCTTCAGACTTAAAACCATTGTGCCAGACATGAAACATATTTCTTTCTATTTTAACATAATCTATCTTCCTAAAAGTGGCTATGATTTAAAATTAGACCCTGCAATGAGCAGACTGTGGTATTCTGTCTTTCTTTATTATGATGTGAGGTTACTGACCCTTCAGTTACTACCCTGCTGGGATTTTTGTAATGTTCTGGCATGTGAAAAAGTCCTTTTTTTTGTTTGTTTTTAGCACTAGCACTTTCAGAGTGGATTTCTTTCTATGATTATACATACATACTATCTAAAACCTGGTTCCAGTGTAGAATTGGCCTATTCTGACTGAAGGAAAATCAAGGCTAAAGAGTATCTGAACACCCAAGAGAGTCAGCATTTGAGTCTGACAAATAAAAACCATCAGTAAAGTCTTTGAATTCTGGAATTGATTTGGTAGGAACGAATAACTTGTTTTCTAACATTTAGGAACATTTTAAGAACACAATATTTAACTCAAGGATATTGTAGAACAATGAAACCACATAAACAGGTAAAGTGTATTCAAGTGATGATAGGAAGCCTGACATGCAGCCCCTTATCTGCAAACCTAGAATGGAATTGACCAGTTTCAATATGGGTTAATGCTCAGAGTCCACAACCCTGACAAGCTTTGAGGGATAAGGTCCACCTGAGGATGAGGAGAGTGGGAAGCAGCAACAGAAACTACACTGAGGAAAAAACAAACAGTTTAAGTCTTTTTTGCTATTTATGTTGAATTTGGTAAATGTTTTCAGTAAAAAGTCAAAGCAAGTTATTAGGCAAATTAAGAATTCTTCTACTGTATTTAAAAAATGTTTTGAGCCTTTAATTGGAAATGTTTCTCAATGCTTTTCAATTTTCAAGCACCAAACTAAACAAAGATTGACAATTAGATGATCAGTGTGAAACAGTTTTTCCTCTAATCTTTTCCTTTCTCTTTTCATGCAAATAGAGTCACAGAACTCTAATTATTCCATAATTTTGCATGTTATAATACATAAATGAATCATGATGTGGCTGAATTTGAAACTTGAAGAGCTCACTTGAGACAGATTGGGCTCCTAATAAATAGATTTTCAGCCAAATAGATTTAAAACCTACTACTGTTCTGGGCTTCTGATAAATGGAGTTATAATCTAATAGTCTGAAGTGTTTTACAGCCTTCCTTTCTAAGGTTTCAGAATGCTTTTCTAATAACAATAAAAAAATAATCCTAAAACACAGTTGTGAGATACTTGTCTATGGAAAGGTTAATACTTGTCAAAGCAAAGTAGTTGACTTGCGAAGGTCAGAGAGCAAACCTGGATGGAGGATTGGGAAGAGGCCTGTTCCTACACCTTTGCCATTAGACTGCCCTGCTCCTCAGGCTGGATCCATGACACTGGGCTGGGGTAGAGGAAAACACTGTACAAAGCTTGCTGGCTGGTCAACCTTCAGTGATTCAGGTAAGAAGCACTTCTAAAATCAGCTGAAGCAACTAAAAGTTCCAGTTGTGAACTTTGCAATAGTCCTTCATTACTCTGAGATTATTATTAATATTCTTCTGCAAAATATTCTGGATGGATTGTTTTCCAGTTTTTTGTCAGAACACTTAGGGCTACACTGGTTGAGACCCTAATTATGAAGGATTTTCCGGTTAATTTGGGTTTTCAGACAGTTTTGGATAACATGGCTTTGAACTAATTTTTCTCTCTCCAGTGTAAAAAACTCAGTTTATAAATGGGGAACTGAAGCACAGAAAAACCTGCTGGAGGTCCCTCTGGACTGAATTCTGGTCTCCTGTGTGTGTGATCTGTCGACAACTATCCATGCTCTGTCAACAACTATCCATGCCCTGTCACTAGGTCTTTCTTCCTATCAATTCTCCTGTTGATGCATGAAGACACATTATAGAAAAATGAAGATTTTTCCAAGTTACAAACTATCCAAGAGTGAGGCCAGCAATAAATAGAGCAGCCTGCTCAGATCCATTATCCATATTACACTGAGATGTACAATGATTTGCCAGTCCTTATAGGCAGACCTAGAAAAATCCAATCTCAAAGGCAATCATGGCTGAGATGCAGCCTGCTAGCATGAATGAAGAAGAATGAAAGAAAACTCTTAGACTTAGGGAAACAAGAAGGGGTGACAGGCTGTGTATATTGTACAGTATCAGAGAAGACTGGGCATACTCACAAAAGCTAACCTAAGCTTCCTGAGGCTAATGAACAAAGCATTTTTTATAGTTAAAAGAGAGAGATAAAGTCCTCTCCAGGGTGATTTCTAGCAGAAATTTAATGTAGCCATCATTACAAAGGCAACCAAGGGAGATTAGTTGGCCTTTGTAGCAGTCTTGTCCCTCACTGTATCTCCGCTGCAGGATTTTATGTCATGGGGCTTTATGAACTTGTTTTCAGTACATCAGTTCAGTGGTTTTGGAGTAATCTTTGCATATTTCTACAAAACAGTCCTCATTCCATTCCCTCTTACATTTTACAGGAAAATATAATGTATGAAATGAGGGGTCCAGAGCCTCCTTTCTCACTCTAGCTGCTGTTTCCAGAAGAATGAAATGGGCTGCAGGAGCATGAGTGGAGCAGCAGCAGCAATTCACCAGGCCAGCTTCCAAACCTGGGGCTTCAGAGATTTTAACAGAAAAGCTGAACTGGATACCATTCATTTTACGAGCACACTAGAATTAGATATATCACCTTATCCTTAACTGGAAGGGAGTTGTGCAGAAACAGGTCAGTTTTACTCCCCAGGTGGTCTAAAAGCCTGAACAGCCTGTTTGGCCGACAGATTGGGTGCTCATTCAAGCAGGGTCAGAATTGCACCCTCTTACCTTTTGACTTTTGGGCTAGACACCTGGAAGCAAGCTGGTTAAGATTTTCACATTTCTGTCTGTCCATGGTTAGGCAACACTGAAAGTTTTTAACTTTTTCTTTCTTTTGAGAAGTAAAACTCAGATACAGAAAAAAACTGAAGCAAGCTGGGCTTATTGGTAGATAGCCAACAGAACACATGTCCTACCAACTCAAACGAAAATACAGGCTTCATAAAATATGACTGCCTGCAAAGAACCTGGAGGAAGCACAGGTCACAACTGATCAGAATCTCTTTCAAGCAGCTTTTGATTTCATTTTGGTCTAATCCCACAAGACAGTCAGGATGCCATTTTAAGTTTCTACCAATTACACAGCTTTGAATCAAAGTGACTTTTGTGACACTGCAATAAAATTTCACACCAAGACCATCGGCAATCTGTTACAATGTTAATATATTAAATCCATTACAGCCTGTCCTGTTAAAATACTCTAGAAATGTCAATTCCTCACACAAACAGAAGGAAAAACATGGGTGAAAATATTAACCGCAAACTAAAAAAAAGGCATCTAAACCTTGTCTTCTCAATGTAAGAGATTCTATGTCCAGCTATGGATAGAAAAGCAGATGTTTTGAAAAAGACACAGTTAAAGAAACATATTTTCAAACATTTCCATTATTGAAATGGAAATTGTCAACATTTAATCATTACCTCAATATTAAAAAGACTGCTGTGATGAAATCAGGCAGAAGTACAATTAATATACACGGGCTTTAATTTAAGGAATAATTTCACTATTACCCATTATTTCCTTTTTAATCTGGCAATATAGGCACACATTTCCAGCACCATTTCAGTAAACAATGGTATATCCTTTCAATACTACTTTTCCTTTCGAATTTCCAACCAAAATTATGATCCTAAAAATGTGATAACTAAAAGGTAAAACAGAGTCTCTTACGGAGGGAGAATCTGGAGATGATAGCTGATTTTTATAACAATTCAAAGTAGTGCTCTAAACACCAGCTTGGAAACTGTTTTTACTTCAAAAAAATAATAAAAAAACACAATCTGTGTTAGGTGTTAAAATTAGTTATGCTAGAAACAAGTGACTTGAGTGGGAAAGACACTATCTAGAAAGTTTTCTTGCAATAAAAAGCTCTGAAATCTTGCTAAGAGGTAGAACTGATGATTCACATGTCACAGGGAACAGCAGACACTATTTTTTTTTTCTCACCTCATTACAAAAGAAACCCCTAACAATCTTCCTGTAACATAATGAGTGAGCCAAAAAAATAAAATGAAAACAATTGCATAAATACAAAAAAAAAAAAAGAAAAAAGTAGTATCTCTTTTGGTACACAAAATTAATATATATATATATTTTTAATATATGTCTAGAATTCTGCATCTAATTGAAGTAGAAAGTTTGTGTCTGCAGAAAAAAAATTCCAATGTACTTGCTCAAAATGTTAAATTAGGTACCTTGTAAACTACTACAGTTAAACATTATCAAATAAAGGAATAATAGAAAAGAACCTTAATACTCACATTTGGTTTTAAGCTGCTTCTCTTGGTAACTTGTGCAGCAAAATAAAGGAAGAAAGAATTACTTCTCTTCACAGAAACCAGCATTCCTCAAATCCAAAAGAAACAGAACACTTTGCCAGAGCTATTTGAGGGTCCCATCAGAATTTGGCTGGATGGAGGAAGGCTGAGGGTCAGTTTGTTTCCCTTAGACCTCATGACATGCAAATAGCTGGCTGCATCACCACAGAATCAAGTCATGCTTTGACATATTGTGTTTACAAATTGCAAATACATACTGTGTAGGGGGTTCTTAAAGGAACATATTCCAGGCAGTTGTCAAAAGACTCTTCTTTTAAAGAACCTAAAGAATCAAAACCCCCAAACCCCAAACTGTTTTATACAAGAAAAAATAAAATTAAAAAAAAAAAAAGGAAAAAAAAAAAAAGGATCATCATCCCTATACACACTATGGACTGTGCATAATGAATCCAAAAGACCTCATGTGGGTTTGTAATTCAGAAAGGAAATAGAAAAATTGTGATTACTCATGTCTGACTTTTACATCCAGGAAATGAGGGGCAGTGACAAGTACTCCTGCAATTTCAGAAGAGACTTTTGGGGACCCTGCAGAACAATTTGCCACTCCTTCAGCACGCAGGAAGGTGTTAGCATGGCATCACCATCAGAGTGGCAGCAAAGGCCTCCATGTTCTAGCTTGGGGTTGACTAGGTGACCTTAAAGGTCCCTTACAACACAAACTATTCTATTCTTTCATTGTTCTATGATCTTCTAACAGCATTTCTGAGGTCTGACCTTCTCTGAATTGCAGTCACCTCTTCTACTTTTCCTTGGAGAAAAGAAGGACCAGCACAGTCTGACACTTGAACAGAGTATAGAGAAGTGCTTCTACTTTGTGTAAGACTCCATGCAGACCTTTCATTGATTGCAGCTGAAAGGAAGGATGTCATGTCCATTTAAAAGGCAGTGTAAAGTTAAGCAGAATGAAATAAAAAGGATGGCTGCTTGTGGTGTGAACCATGACTGATCTCCAGGAAGCTTTTTTTCACAACCAAGAGCCAATAGATCTGAATCATTTTGCTATAATGTCAAGTGAGAGGGAACTGCTTTGTATCACAGAAAGAAGGAAGAGGTAAAAATGTAAATGGGGTAAAGAGGCATTATGTTATCCAAAGACTTTGGTAAAATTGCCAAATCTGGACATGTTCCAGAGGTTATCTGTGTCTCAGCAGCATCTTGCAATACATCAGATTGATCATTTGATATTATTGCTAAGAATTCATCATCTGTGTTTTTATCTGAATGGTTTATTAAACCTCTGCAGACAGTTTATCATCTAATTAAACTAGATTATTTCTTCCTATTGTTATATGCTTTATTTATACCAAGGACTTCTACAGTGATTTTTCAAACTTGTCTTTTTTTCAGCTTGAGGAGAGGGTAAGTTAAGTCTGAATTTGAGTTCAGGATGAGAATCATTAACAGCTTCCTGTTGCCTTTACTTCCAAAAAGAAAAAAAATGACAATTCTTGACCAAGAACCTTTTGAAGATCTTAAAACAAAGCAGGACAAAGCACTATTCAGACATCTGCCTAAAGAGCTAAGAATGATTAAAAATAGTTCTAACACTACACTTTTTTCTCAGAAAGGAGAAGGACAGACACTTTCTCTAGCCTGTCATAGTCCTTCACCTTCAAAGTTTATCCTTATATTTGTCTAACTGTAGGTAGAGATCATAATGATGTAAAAAGAAGACACCCAGAGAAGCACTTAAAATTCAGTCACCCTTTTTCAACAGCTGCAAATGGAGCACGAGAGGCCAAACTCTGCTCCTCCTTCAGTCTCGATGTGATGATGTCTCACACAGCTCCCACATTTCTTCCTGAACTTCCTGAAATAGAAAGCAGCTCATTTCATCATGTTCCCAGACATGACCTATCTTGACCTAGCTTCCTCTTTACACTGAGGATTTGGGAAATTCATCAACCAAATGGTGTTTCTCTTTAAACTTACTAAGGCTTTCTTCCTACCTTTTTTAAAAAAATTATTTTTAAAATTTAAATTAAATTTAAATGTAAAGTAATTCCTTAACAATTCCTTTTTAAAAACATTAATTAATTTGTTGTTTTCCTGAGAAAACATCTTTGGCATTTACTGAATATCTTCTGCTATTTGGGTCAGCAGAGAGAGGAATTCTGCCCTTGCAAGTATCCTGTTTATCTAAAAGCTTCAGATAATTACCATTTTCTATGTTTAAACTACAATCATCATTCAAAACGTTTGAATAGCACATATTTGGAGTCTCAAAAAGCACTGAGGGAAAAATCAGTACATGTTCTTTCATTCCTCCTTAGATACCCACTTTTGGCCTTGCTGGAGACAGAATCCTGGACTGCACAGGTCTTCCAACTGACACAACACAGTCACTGGTGCCTACTGCAAAGTACCAGATTTTGTATTAAAAAAAAGCCAATCCAAAATCTACCCAGTTTTTGGTAAAAATTCCATTTTTTCTGGCCTCAGGAAAATGTAATGACTACTTAAAAAAATTTAAAAATACATCAAGGACATACCACTGCACCAGCAGCCTGCTTATGGAGCCTACACAGAGAAGAACTGGCTTTATCTGAGCAAGCTGTGAGGCAGCTCTGCACAGCCAACAAATCCCACTGCCGTGACTTAGAAATTTGGGCTTCTTTTTTTTTTGGCCAACAAAGTTGGCAAGAAGGCTGCAAGTTCTAACACAGTACACCACTTTGCCTATTGCCAGAGGACTTGCAAATAAACAGCTACAAAAGTTAATTTTGCCACTTAAAAGAAGGGAAAGGCTGTTGCTGGGAAAGATAATATTCTACCGTTCCAATTTGCTGAGAGAATCACAGAATCACAGAATAGTCATGGTTGGAAAGGATCTCTGAGCTCACCAAATCCAACTATAGAAAAACAAAATAAAACAAAACACCCAAAAAACCCCCCACAAACACACAGCCTACAAACTCAGCCACTACAGCCTGCCCTGAAGTTCCTCATCTACACATTTCTTGAATACCTCCAGGAATGGTGGCTCAACCACTTCCCTGGGCAGGCTGTTCCAGTGCCTGATCACTCTTTCAGTACAGAAATTCTTCCTATTATCCAATATGAACCTTCCCTGCCACAACTTCAGGCCATTTCCTCTGGTCCTGTCATTATTTACTTGGGAGAAGAGGCCAAAACTCACCTCCCTACAACCTCCTTTCAGGTAGTTGTAGAAGGCAAGGAGGCCTCCCCTCAGCCTCCTCTTCTCCACAACCTCTCTGGGCAGCCTGTCCCAGGGCTCTGTCACTCTCATAGTGAAGAAGTTTTTTCTGATGTTTAGGTGGAACCTCCTATGCTCCAGTTTGCATCCATTGCCCCTTGTCCTATGACTGGACATCACTGAAAAAAGCCTGGCTCTGTCCTCCTGACTCTTGCCCTTAATGTATTAAGGCTCCCTTGACCTACTAACCACACCTGTTCTAATGCACCCCAGGATGCCATTGGCCTTCTTGGCCCCAAGGGCACATTGCTGGCTCATGGTCATCCTCCTGTCCACCAGGACCCCCAGGTCCCTTTCTTCTACACTGCTCTCCAGCAGGTCAGCCCCCAACCTGTACTGGTACATGGGGTTGCTCTTCCCCAGATGCAAGACTCTACACTTGCCCTTGTTGAATTTCATCAAGTTTCTCCCCCCCCCACTCTCCAGCCTGTCCAGGTCTTAGTGAATGGCAGCACAGCCTTCTGGTGTGTCAGCCACTCCTCTCAGTTTAGGGGACACTCTGCTCCCTCATCCAGGTCATTAATGAAAATTCTTGAAACACTGGTTATAATATAGCAAGTCTAACATGATGTAGTAAATTTTATAGTAAGATCATTATTATTCCAGCATAAAACGGTATCAAACAAAAGAGCACTGAGAATGGCATGTTAAATCAAATGATGCACATTACCAATTCCTGTCTGAAAGCTTCAAGTTGCAAGACGATCAGCCACTGGTTAAGGCAACAGAATGCATTTTAAATACTTCATCATTTAATGTTATTAAAATAATTTCATATTTGCATACAGAATATGGGTGTATTATTTACAAAACAGCTCAATGTCATATAAAATTGTTTACATTCATTAGAGGAACTTGGTAATTATTCTGGCTAAATAACAAGCAATCAAACCTATTCCCTGAATGCAAACTCTGTTTCTTAAACAAAGTTAAACATCCTGAATATTTTTCATCTCTTACTCCTCACTGTCCTTCATTGTCAGCTAAGACAGCCTCTAGCCAAGGAAAGAGAAACAACCATTTTTGCCTTCCAACTGGCACAAGAAGAGCTTTGATGTGAGCACTGTTAAACATTACTGCCTTTTACGCGTGCATAGGAATCAATTAAACCTTAATTAATCTGTTAATTGAGCTTCCATACTTGGCCTCTTCAACATTCATTTGTAAACTGAAAAGCTTATATGTGAACTGTTGGAAAACAAAGTAGGGCTTGCACAGAATTTACTTCCTTTCAGAATCAAAGAATTTTGGCAAGAACGGGTGAGCAACATTTTTAGTGAAAAGAACTCTATTTCCTGTGTTACTACTCAAACTTCATTTTATGCAAAAAACTGAAATTACACACATGAAATCAACGGGCACTACTGCTGTAACACAACTCAAATATTTCTGGTTTAAAATTACCTCCTCTTAAAAGTAAGTAGTATATTTGACACACAAGAACTGCATCACTAGTAATGGCAGAATCTATTTTACACATTTTTCCACTTTCCTGAAGACATGAAGTATTTCTCATGTAAAAATAAGGTAAAATACTTGAGGGAAACACTTTACCCAATATTTTGGTCTATAAAGTTTATGTAGAAAGATCATCAATTAGATTCTTTTTAAGGAACTCAGGATAAACAGAATATCACATGATCTCTGAAGGAGCTGAACAGAACACCGGCAAGTGCTTCTAACTGCTGTGAGAACTAGACTAAGAACTCAAGTTGCTGAATGATTATGTAG